TTCAACAGCGCACATCCGGCGTTACATTTCACCAGTGAAAAGGAAAGCGATGGAAGACTGGCCTTTTGGGGCGTGTTGCTGAGGCGGCGGAACGACGGTTCTCTGGAGAGAAGCGTTCTCCGGAAGCCGACATGGACGGGCCAATACACACACTTTTTAAGCTTTGTGCTTTTGCAACACAAGCGGAACTTAGTGTGTTGCTTACATTACGGTGCCGCCAGAATATGCAGCCCAGAGACGCTGGACGAAGAGAAACATCGTATCTTCAGGATATTGCAAGAGAACGGATATGCCGTTCAGATTATCAGAAAGCATGCCACGATTCGTCTTCGCTCCGAAATCATCTTGAGCGCGCCAAAAAAGGATGTGTATTTATCTGTGCCATTCAAAGGAGATGTTGCCTTGGACTTACTGAAAAGGAAACCCTCAGCCGCAGTGTCCAAAACTTACCCAGTCGCCTATCTACATGTACTTACTCAGACCGCTCCTTTTGTTACTCCGCGTCTCAAAGACAGACTCCAGGTCTTGTCCCAATCATACGTCTTGTATCAATTTAGTTGAACCTGTGGTGCAAGATACCTCGGGCATACAACTAGGCGTCTGTCAAAAGGGATAGCAGAGCACTGCCCAGGCTCGTTAAGAAGAGGCATGGGCAGAAACATAAACAGTGCTATCATGGAACATCTGATCCTAAGCGGACACGAAATTCAAACATCGGATGCGTTTAAGATCTTCTACTCTGTCTCACCACGTCATCGGAAGGCTCTCAGAAAGCGTCTCTTGCAGATAGCTGAAGCAGTTTCCATCAGACTGACCCAGCCCGAGATTTGTAAGCAACGAGCCCTGCTTCAAATGCTTCTCCTACCCTGGGCACGCAGCAGCTACTCGGGATCGGACACTAACCGCTTACTATCGACTGCGAGGCGCACCCTAAGTAAATCGACCTAGGCATCCATCTGACCTGCTGACTCCGTTCAAAATCTCGGCCTAGCTGTCCTCAGCGTGGCTGGCAGCAGCTTACCACGTTTTTCCTTTATTATTGTAAGGGCCTAATGAGAATAATCGAAAAGAGATCTTTTCGCTATATATATATATATGTATATATATATATATATATATATATATATATATATATGCTCGGCCTAACGCTCGAGTCGACGGTTTTGACAGTGGATTGGTTCGCCATTGGTTTCGCATAAAACTTCACTTACGGTCGGCCTTTTGCAGCCAGTCGATCGGATCAGGAAGAAAAGCTTGCGGAAATTCCCCGAAATGGCCGCTTGTTCCACCTCAATGACCCGCTGCGTCCACTATTCCTCGCGATCTTCCCTAATAAGCTGTTTGAGTTCAACCTTAGTGGTGAATGATATTTAACGCTATCAGGATTTGCTCAACGGGCTTCTAGAAGTGGGAGGGATCGTGCAAAGATTCAGTGCTTGACAGGACTACTGGTGAAGCAACAGACCAGTGTTGCAGAGTTGTACATGGCGCCGCGGATCTGTGTCCAGTGTGCTTCAATGTCTGTGCATGCGGCATTCTTCAAACGTGAAGCCAAGGCGTCCTGAAATGCACGGAGAAGGTTCGGAGCAGAAAGCTTAGCTACGTCAAACGATTTCTAGCAACGCTGCTGAGTGCCACCAAAACGTAGCGCGACCTTGGTACACACCAACGCGTGATCCGAATTGAGATAGGTACTCCAGATTGATTTGCAATCCTGTATGCAACCTTGCCAGCGATACCTAATGGCGATGTGGTCAATTTGTGTCCACGGCTGGCCAGGGGGTGGAGGCCTCCAGATGGCGCGCTGGCGTCAGAATTCTTGAAGGCCAGTGCTCGACAGAAAGGCCGTGATCGGCGCAAAGCTGAAGTAATCAATCACCGTTGTCTGTTCTGCGAGTGCCATGGCCGAGTTGACGTTCGTCAACTTCAAGTCTACCGACCTGCGCGTTCAAATCCCCGGCGAGCATCATGATCTCAGTACGGCGCTTTTTACGATGAAGGTCGGCCAGTTGATTATAGAAATCATCCTTAACTGACTCCGGGCTGCAATCTGTGGGGGCGTACGCTGCGACAATGAATAGCCAACGTCTGCTGGCTTCGCGCCTAGACAGTCGCACTGAGGTTTCAAGTCAGATCGCGCATAGTTGACAGGGACCGTCTAGTATCGCGGCCTCAGCAACTGTGCTCAACACAATCCCCATGCCAGCATAGCCAGCGGCTTCGACGGTTTAATCTCCAAATAGGCGCAAAGTGAAACTGCCAGTGGAATTCACTGACGGTGAAACTAGTCGCAGCATCGTGCTAGAGTCCTGTAAACGGGTGTTGCTTAGACAGCAGACATCAATAGCCTTAGTTTCTAAAGTGTGAGCAAGGGCTGCCTGTGATCCTATCTACATCAGCGTCCGAACATTGAAGGTTGCAGTTTGAATTTGGAACGGAGCGCTAGAAATGGCTTGTCAACACGATTTGGCGCATCCTCGGACCTAGGCTCCTGATTCGTATGGTGAAAACGTTCGCCCAGGGCGGCACGGTGTTGTGAACTCGCAAACGGAGGAAGAGAACGAAGAATGGGTTTAAACAAATGTGGAATGAAGTGATTAAACGGTGGTGCGGTAAAACGTGGTTTGGCAAGTTCAACCGCCAGCATTTCGGCCGATGAGAGCCGTTCGAGAGAGTGAGAGCAGACAGAGCGAGAGCGAAGAAAGCGAGCGAAGAATTGTTGGGACATGGATCCACAAGTTGTATGGGCATGGTATTTCCCGTTTGCCCAGGCCGAGGAAGAGGCTTGACTTAGGGGACTCCACCCGGAGCCTTTGGCCATAAAAAACCTAACCCGTAAGGCAGCGGGGCGATTGACATATACCGCGACCGTTTGGAGCCGGCTATCTAGGTAAGGATAAAACGACTTTCGAGTAGAGGCTAACTACTCAGGGCGCCCAAAGAGCCCCAGTAAAGCAGCAAGGAGGCCAGAATTCCCTGGACTACCGAACTCGCCGCGAAGCACGAAGGCCGTTGACAGCCGGGTGGCTCATACGTCTTCATAGGAGCAGGTGGCCATCGAGGTTGTTCATCCGCCCTTCGTTAAGTACTCACTTCTGTGACCGGGAGTGGTTGGTGACGCTATAACTGGTCACATTGTCTTTGACACAGCGCCTTACGAGCTGTTGTGGTATTCAATGAGGAACCAAGTGACTAGCCTAGAACCCCCCATGCTCTGGGACGCTGCCGCTGATTGTCCGCGACTGCTTATTCATCTGGCCTGCGAACAGCCGAGACCTATTCACAGTTACCTTCACAAGAAAGGCGTTCCCCGATCCGCAACCTGGGGACGCGCCCGGTGGCGTACAGCTCCGCCTAACCAACCAGTAGTCAGTTCACTTCCGGGATTAATAAGTCGTAAGCTGTACGCCGTAGCGGCGTTTCGCTGCCGCGCGACCACCACGAGTGGTGCGCGGGTTGAGTATACCACGAGGACGCACACCCCTATGCGGACTCGAACCGGTGACCTATGGTTGCAAATCAGGCGCGCAGACCACTCGGCCACCGGATGTCTGCTGCCTCGCTGAAGCCCGATTACAGGACCCTAGCACGACGCTACGACTGCTTTCACCATCTGCGAGTTCCACTGGCATTTTCACATTGCGCTTATGTGGAGACGCAATCGCTGATGCCGGCATGAGGATTGTGTTGAGCACACGCGCTGAGGCCGCGCACTTGACTGGGTTCCTGTTAACAGTCGACTTTGCGCTTCAGCCGTGGAGCCAGCAGATGTTGCTTGTTCGTTGTAGCAGCATACGCTCCCACAGACTGCAGTACGGAATCAGTTAAAGACGAGTTGCCGTTGATCCGTCTCGCTGGAGTCCACCTGACTCGCTTTATGCTTGGCTGGATATTTTACTGGACGTGGCTCGCAGTCGACACCAGTGGCGCGTCTGCTGCCGTCTCGTATTCGGATTGTCTGTTTAAAGTATCTTTGATGCTGCCTTATATGCGGGGTAATGACTGATAATGACGTGGGGCATTGAAAGTCCCAAGGAAGCTGTCTCGCTGATGCCGCCTTGTCTTTGCACGACCGCCAGCTGTTTGTGATGGTATGTTGTTGGCAAGGTGTAGGCGCCTAAACCCTGAGTGTTTGTTTTGGGCATTAAGGTTTTCAAGTAAGTCCCCCTTCTCTCCCTCTTTTAATTTTCGTTTCCTAGGTGGTTGTGGTTGTATGGCGGCAAACCATCAGATCAAATGGCGGATGTATTGCTGTTGATGGTGGATATCGTTTCGGAGAGCTGGGAGCCGGCTGTTGTACCGCTCAGTAGCATTAGGTGCTGGCTGCTTGATGCGAACTACTCACGACCTTCGGTAAGACGAAACGCCTGTGTGAACTAAACAGCGTGGAGGATTATCTGACTTAGGAGCTGCTGTAAATAACGCGCAATTAAATGTTTTGCTCACTCTTATGTTTTTCTATTTTTATACCTTATGTATTGCTTGGCGTCGCAGTAGTTCACCTCTAGCTAACGTATAATGCTGCTGCTGCCGCCGCTGATCTGTTATTCGTTTAGAGGTACAACATATGGTATGGGCAGACCGAGAACAAATCATGTTGCGTTAAATTTGGAATCCGCGTTTCTTGAAAAGTATCGTGTGTACCTCTGAAGTTCATGAATCATTTCCCGTTGGCGCGCATTAGTAGTCGAATAAAGTTCAGTTGTCTATGAAATAACCTGCCTAGTTTAATTGGATTTTTTCCGCGAATTTGAGTTCCTTGAACCTAAGTGGTATGTGGCACCTCTGCTTCTACGATTAATGGCACATTTGTTATTGCACATTTCTATGACATGAGTGGCCATAATCTGTCGGCAATTCGGTAAAACCAATGTTACAACTATTCCAACCTATTCTGACACTGTGCCTTTGCTTTGTGTTGTTTTCCATTTTATCCAAGTGCACTTTAATTTACCTTTTAGCTATTTTACTCTCCCCGGTGCTTCACTTAATGTCACGCGATGCCTGTCTTCACTGATTCCAAATCCGCATTCAGTCTGTTGATCGAATCTGAAGTGGAGCTCAACTTTTTGCTGCCGAATGGAATCATACTGCCTCAGCGGGTATGTTTAGCCGTGGTCGCTTTTATATGCTTTTTCGAGGACTTCAGACCGCTGCTTACTTATGACCAGAAACCACACACAACTATTGTTTGTATTTTGGTAGGAAACTTTTAGTTTTTCTCCATATGGATTAAACAGTAACACTGACCTCTCATTTTTTAAAGGCTATCCACTATCATCAAGTCTCACCAAGAGTCAATATCGAGTGACACTGTGTAAACTGTCTCCCAGGACAGAAGTTGTCGAAATAAATTTATTAAATGGTTTTATTACGACGTCCCCAGCACTATTTGATATGCCTCTTGTTCAGGAGCACAGTATCAGTGATATCGAGTGGCCCTCCAGGAATCAAAAACTAGGTCTTGGCGGCGATTAATAATCATTAAGGAAACTTGTGGCTTTTATTAGACTACTTACGATATTCTGCTGTCATCCGCTTATTGAATATGACGTTAGCTCCATCCATTTGGTTCGTGCTCGTTCTTCAGTCGTACCGATTGACATTTACTGTACCCAGGGTTACGTCGCGCTGTGTTCTTGTCATCGCCGATAGACTGCATGATGTCGTCTGCTTGGCCATTGGTCTATTAGATTGATGCTTCCCCGGCTGGCTAGCTGACACAGCGGTGCGCGTCGTTAAACTGTACTCCGACATGAGCCGGCTTCTCGCCATACGGCTGACCAATTCGCTTCTTGAATGACGCAGCTCACGTTGTTCCTCTTGTGTGCTGAGCCAGACCTGTCGTGCGCGCTCGGTTTTCGTCTGATTGGTCCCCGGTCCGTCGTTACCGCGGCGATTTCCTTCGCCCCAGGTTTCAGCTACCATCACATTCTTTTTCTTTTTTACAATGTTGTTACAATAAGTTCCGTACGGTTTTCCGCTTGCTGTCTTGGGTTGAGGTTGCAGGTACCCGTTCTCGCTGCTGCTGCTGCTGCCGATCCTCGCTTCGCGGACTCTATCCATCACATGCTCTCTTAAGTTACTCCCCAATCCGTCTAATGATATTGCTCCCTATCCTGACTTCATAACTCCTTTCACCCTCGCGACCCACAACTACTCCCGCCAAAGTTCTTCGGTTTCCGTTACTGGCGGTCATAGCCTTCTCGCACTCCACTGGGGCTCCAACTTTTCTTCGAACTGAATTTCCCTTCCCTTTCTCAGCATTCAGTGTTCGCACTCTGAAGCAGATCGGACGTCAAGCTTGCATGGCTCGCACTCTTGTGACGCTCTCGGGAGACATTTACTGCCTTTCGGAAGCCATATTGCGTGATCCCAATATGGTCATCAGAATGACCTCTCCGGCCAACCCTAACGTTAAATACCATTGGTGTCTTGCCGGGGATCCAGAGTCTGCCACTTCTGGTCAGGCTGATGTGTTGGGGTTGTACTGAGTGACAGAGCTGAGACAGCTCTGCTTGATTGGATCCCCGGTCAACAATTGGCTGTGTGTGATCAGACTACGACGTCCATGTAAATTGAATAAGATAGTGTTCCACCAGTTTGTATTTCAAATGAATAGAAAGCAGTGTTTTTTTACGAAATTATTGCTGTGCAAACACGTTTATCTGACATTTAAAATACGGACAACAGCTTAATGTATTAATTTTTCGCCTAGTTACTGAGAACACTATTTTTGTTTTAATGAACGATTTCTGAGATTTTGTATATAAGGGATGGGTTCCTGTTTTCGACTTTACTTTCTAAATGTTGGCTCTGGGAACACAACTATGTGCTTATTAGGTGGTTATATCCATATGCATCCACATCTTTCATTTTGGCAGCCGTTCATCCATCAAAAACATCCGCTTTTTCCATTTTTCATCCATCGCAACGGAGCACATATTTGCGTTTACACGCCGAATTAGGTTCCCTTATTCAAATGCGTACTAAACAATTTTAAAGATTCCGTAAAGTAACATAATATAATTGTTTATTGCAGGAAATGGAACATCACACCCTTATGTTAAGATAATTTTTCTTTTCCGGCCTGTTATTTGAATTTTTGCGCTACAGACTGGTGGAACGCTACCATTAAGTAGGCGTCCAGATGTTAAGCGTGCCTCGTTTGTCGTCTCCACCTAAGCTCTTGCAGACTGCAGCCCGGATGCAGTCAAGCATTCCTTTTATCAACAACTACATGATCATCTGCGTCCCTCTAAAACGTCCTATATCGTCATTCTTGCCGGAGATTTTAACGCCACCAAGCGAACATCATCTTGGTGTAGTTTTGAGTTCTGTAGTGGTCGATCGAACCATGGAGACGGACTACTGACTCTTTATTCTGATCATTTCTTGTTTCTTTCGAGCACCAGTTTTCGTCACTCGAATATACAGACTTCAACCTGGCGCACGCCTTCTCACGCACATGAGTGGTTCCAGCTTTACCACATAGCAATAAGCTAAAAATGACGCGGATGTATACCAGTCTGACTATCGTACTGGTCACGTTGTCTGGACTTCGATCAAGCACTGATTCGCGTTAACTTTTGCATGCGTTTCGGAGGAGCGCCCAGCAATACGCACTAACGGCCGAACATCGAGAACCTACAGGACCCTACGACGCTGTCCAAATACCAGGCCTCTCTATCGACACTGCTTGTCTCAGATTCTGACTATAATCTTAATCCACAAGGGGGTTCGCATCAGAGATGCATTAATTACCGCTGGTATTGATAATTGTGGAGTTACACATCACTCGCCGAAAAGCAGGATCACTGCTGTTTCATTGTCGCTGGTTGACAGATGCTGCTTGGTCCTTGCGGACGCCAGCTGTAGTGATTAACTTCGATTCCCGGATCGAGAATTGCACAGAAGTTTACAAAAGGACCGTGAAGCTTGATGGTGTGAACGTGCTAGAGATGGAACTATCTAGTCTTTCTGGTAATGACAGAAAACTCATCCGAGTCAAAAAGTTCCCTTACCTGGTGTAAACGAACAAAAGTCTGCGAAGTGGTTAGCTCACTGATTATTAATCTTCATCATCAATTGGAACGATGCGCTGACAGCCAGCTCCATCTTCTTCCTCTGGAGAGCTGACTTGTGCGGAGTGGTCTGTTCCCACGGATCCTCCTCATCAGAAAATTTGGCAGAAACCTCATACTGAAGCGCCGTGATACATCAGGCCCTAATGGTTCATCACCTGTACTTTTTAAAGATGGCGACTATTCGTTGGTTCGAGAGCTCATTGCTTTGTTCTCAGAAGTCTGATCAAGAGAGGAGGTTCCATCGTCTTTGGGTGACTCCATAATCGTCTCCACCTTCGAAAAGGCATACGCACAATGTGCTTCAACTACAGACATATAAGTTTTGTTCCCGTCGTCTGGAAGCTTCTGGTATCCGTCATATTTCTCTGGCTATCGGCAATGCGCAAATCGCTACAGCCAGTAGCACAGGCTGGGTTCCGCCTTGGTCGCGGCTGCATCGATCAAATTTTCTCACTCCGCCAGTTGTACCAAAAACCAACGAGTGGCGTGTTCCTGGATATCCGTGCTGCCTTTGGTTTTGTTATCAGGACTGCGTTGTGGTTTTGCTTGTTGTGGAATGGCGTCCCCGGGAAGTTCGTCTCCGTACTGCGTGCTTTGTACAGTCTGACCTCGGGTAAAGTTAGGGCTTATGGCAAGCTTTCGCCTTCCTTTGTTGTCACCAGCGTGGTTCGACAAGGATGCCCTCTTTTCCAATTTATCTTCAGTTTCGTAATTGGGTTGTCCTCAAAATACTCCAAAACACTCGTTAAACGCCGATGTTGAACTCCTGCACTGATGATATCGTCTTGCTGCGTGACGGCTCACAGGCCGCTCAACTTGCACTTGACCGCTTGGCGATTGAAGCGTCTAAGTATGGTATGCACTTTTCACCATCCATGTGCATAGCACTTTTCAGGACTTGCAGATGCCCATACTTCCCCTCATTCTCGATGGCGAGACACCCATCATTCTGCCACCATTATATACCTTATCTAGAGACGAAAGACGCCTCAGCTGTTGTGCCGCGAAACAAAACAAATGAAAATGTCACGTCTGCTAAGTCACCAGCCCGGTTGTTGTGCCGCAACAAGTTATATTTTTTTAATTAGCGATGAGACCGTTGATAGAGGGGAACGCTAGGCGGGAAAGGGAGGGACAAAAAGCTCACAACACAAACGTCACTGAGGTCGGCTTCTAGCCATGTCAACAATGTATCCAGCCAAACGTGTTCGTCCTCCTTCGGACCCCAAGTTGGGAACCGGAAGGCTCCAACCGAGACCGACTTCGAGGTATGGGCCTTCATTCCTCTTAACCAAATAATCGCTTAGCCACCTCTCCTCTTCTTCCATCCGCACCCCTGGCGCGCAAACAACGCACGTCGCGGGAGTCGGTGGGCTGGCATGCGCGAAACCTGGCCCAGCCATCGGAGCCTTGTGCACGAAATAACGGTGCTGAGCGGTTCACTTCTTGTTCCTGCTCCATACACAAGGCGTCGGACACGCTCATTGCTCACACAGTGTTCCCACTAGATATGAGCCAGACTGTGGAAGTACCGGTGCTTGAACGTAACTAGCCTCTTTAGGTCGACTGATCTTATAGGCCATGTTTCACAACCGTGTTGCAGAGTCGAACCTACGGCTGCATTGTGCACTCTACCCTCCAGGGAGAGAGTGATGTCGCGCCGGCGCCATAGGTGGCGAAGGTAAGCAAAAGCTCCGTGTTTTTGGTACACGGTTTGTGACTTCTTGATTTCCGACGGCGCTGATACAACTGCCTAGGTAGTTGAATTTTTTGAGCTACGTCTAGCTGATTCTCACCCAGAGTCTGCGCAGGTGGAAGTCCCTGCCAATCTTGGGAGACAACTTTGACCTTCATGAGTGCAAAGCACAGTTCGGAACAGCTGACAACCAGTGCTAGTCTGTGCAGTTCCGCTTGGTGCGTTTATGAGCTGTCGCTGATGAGGACATTGCCGTTAGCATACTCCAAGTCAAGAAGTCGTACATCTGCGAGCAGCTCCACACCTAAGTCTTCTCCTG